ACAGGAGGGTACAGGAGCAGACGACTGCTGACTCCTGTTAGCAGGCTGAGAGCTTTCCCTTCCCATAGCTCATGGTAAGCCTTACCCTACTAGTTTTACACAGGAGGGTACAGGAGCAGACGACTGCTGACTCCTGTTAGCTGGCTGAGAGCTTTCCCTTCCCATAGCTCATGGTAAGCCTTACCCTACTAGTTTTACACACAGGAGGCTACCAAGGAGCAGACGACTGCTTTTAACACAAGAAAGGTGTCTCACATAATATCCTAAAATATACAAAATTACTAAAATTTTGATAAAAAAAAAAAGCAAACAACTATAACACACACGGTCACAATTTCAATTCAATTTTCATATAAATAAATTAGGAAAGAGATAAAATAGTGTTCCATTAAATTCCAACTGGAACTGACTTAACCAAAGGTGGGACAATTTGGCACAGTTTCCCCTCTATATTCGTCCCACAGCGGAAAAAGCTACAGAAAATGTGTAGTTAAAAACCTGAAGAAGCAGAAAATAATCACCATATTGGAACTGTAAATAATAAAACTAATAATAATAATAATAATAATAATAATAATAAAACTAATAATAAGAATAAGAATAAGAATAATAACAAGAATAATAAATAATTGCATAAATTGTTCTAATATTCTTTGCTTTAGAAATATGAATAAATATCAACAGAATAAAACGCTATATCATGAGATTATAACACATTATATACTAATACTTCCTGAAAAACACACATACACACCTATATATGATTAAAACACCCAATAAACACCTAAAACACCCAAAAAAACACCCCCCTCCTCTTCTCTAACACACACCCAAACAAAACTCGAATGTGATGAAAGATTTCATTTCGCGAGGGTGTTGAAAAAATGGGCAAATTGCCTCTGCAGGCCACAATTATGAGTTACAGGGCCAAATGGGAAGGAATTCCAGCCGAGATTGTCGCATTACGAATTCATGAAAGTCAGCTGGATCTCCGCAAACTGTGAGTGGTGTGGGGTGGAATGGATGCCTGGGAGAGAGAGAGAGAGAAGTATGGAAAGGGAGTGGGTTTTTTAGAGGGGATGTAGAGACGCTATGGGGGATGGGAGGGAGGGTGATGGAACAGGGGTGGAGAGGGGAAGATGATACATACAGAGGGGAGAGTGGGATGGGAGGTAAGGTATGGGAAAGGGAGATGTTAGGAAAGGAGTATAGGGTGGCAGATTAAGGAGGGGTTGGAAGAAGGAAGGGAAATGAAATGAGATTAAAGAGAGAGAGAGAGAGAGAGAGAGAGAGAGAGAGAGAGAGAGAGAGAGAGAGAGAGAGAGAGAGAGAGAGAGAGAGACAGACAGAGAGAGAGACAGAGACAGAGAAGAGAGAGAGACAGACAGACAGACAGACAGACAGAGACAGAGAGAGAGAGTTCTTAAACAACCGTTTAACAACTTTTGTAAGCACAGTTGGCTTCGTTTTCGACTCGCAATCAGCGATCTCAAGGTTCGATCCCACGAGATCAAAATAGTTGGGCACATTTCCTTCCACCTAATGCCTCTGTTCACCTAGCAGTAAATAGGTACCCTGGGAGTTAGGCAGCTGTTTTGGGGGTGTTTGTATATATTAAACCTACCTCTCCTCCCTATCCACCCCCCTTCCCCCCAAAAAAAAACCTACCCACCTGTCAACCTATCCCTTACACTCTCTTCTGACAACCTATCTATCCCTCCCCCCCCTAAGACCACCAACCTACCCCCTACCCCCCCATTTCGACAACCTGTACCTATCCCCCCTTCCCCCCCCCCCTTGTTAGGCTCCAGTTTATTACAATTCTCAGTTGTAGTTCAGTCTGTGTTTCTTAATTACTGTTGGACCTGGAGTGTGTGTTCACCTAGTTGTGTTCACTTAGTTGTGCTTGCGGGGGTGGAGTTCTGCTCTTTCGGCCCGCCTCTCAACTGTCAATCAATCAACTGTTACTAACTACTAATTTTTTCCACACACACGATTTTTATGATAAGAGAGAGCTAAGCCGCTATCATTAAATAGCGGCTTATCGACTCCTTATCCCCCAAGATGGGTCATAGCGTGAGAAAATCTTGGAAAAGAAGAGACGTGCCCCTAGTAACGACCCTTGTGGCACTCCACTCGTTACCTCTTCTGGTTACCTTCTACTTCCTCCCTGAGAGAGGTAGACCTCCGCTACCTACTTCAGAAACTTAATATCCATTAGCCTGCTTCTGCGAGTTTGAGTTACGGGGCTATTCATGCCCGTGCCACTTCTTCGGTGGCTTAATCTTCATTAATCAATCTGCGAGTTTGCATACGAGTCGCTCGCATGGGACAGAATAACATACTTCCTGACATACTTCGAGCGATACGCAGGATGTCCGTCTTTCGTAATTGACCGATTACTATCATCTTATTACTGAACTCTTAAATAGGTCTGTTGCAGAATTTGCTTTCCCTAAATCCATGCTGGTCTTTGGAATCAACATACTTTTCTACTGTTTTTAACATCTTTAATTTCTACAATTCTGCGTTAGGTTAGTCTTTCTCGAACAACTTGCGCGTGATACTTGCTAAACATAACGGCTTGTTGTCCAATCGTTCTTGTCTTTTCCATATTGGCATCACGTATACCCTTTTCCAACAGTCTGGAACTTCTCCCGCTTTTTTCCACAAAAATAATTCAAGTTCTAAGAATTTGTAAGGGGCCTACTTAGTGCTGTGGTTGTCTCTTTTAGTACCCATGGTGATATCTTGTCAAAATTGACTGTCTTCACATCCAGTTCCTGTAGTTGTTTATTGCGTCTTGTGTCATTATGTAAAGTTTATTATTAAGAGGAACAAATAATAAATTTATCGCAAAAATTAGTTTCTAAAGTCAAATGAGCTGATGTGGACTCATATTAGATTATAGTTTAATTTAGAACATGAATATCGGTTGTATTGAATACTTATTAAGTACAAGTATTAGTTTAAAAGAGAGAGAGAGAGAGAGAGAGAGAGAGAGAGAGAGAGAGAGAGAGAGAGAGAGAGAGAGAGAGAGAGAGAGAGAGAGAGAGAGAGAAGGCTGAGAGAAGAATGGCTACACAGAATAATCTCACTGAAAACAATGAACCAACTGAAAGCATAGAGCTGGATAATCATACCCCATTCTCTTCACCCTAGCCCCCCTATCCACCCCAGCTGCCTTCCCCTATCCTCCCTCCCCCTCCATCCCCCCATGGTCCCCCCCCTCCCTCCCCCATCCCAAACACAGGCCAAACTAAACCACTCAAAAATAAGCGGGAACTGTGCACCCCAAATGAGTAACTGTGTCGATATTCTGGAGGTGAACTTGTGTTGATATTAAGCCCCACACCACCGCTGATTACGGCCCCCCATTGATTGTTTGTGTGTGTTTGTGGTCATTAATATCAAAGGTAATTAGGTTCCAGGAGCTGTGCTTTTGTGTGTGTGTGTGTGTGTGTGTGTGTGTGTGTGTGTGTGTGTGTGTGTGTGTGTGTGTGTGTGTGTGTGTGTGTGGGTGTGTGTGTGTGTGTGGGTGTGTGTGTGTGGGTGTGTTTGTGTGTGTGTGTGTGTGTGTGTGTGTGTGTGTGTGTGTGTGTGTGTGTGTGTGTGTGTGTGTGTGTGTGTGTGTGTGTGTGTGTGTGTGTGTGTGTGTGTGTGTGTGTGTGTGTGTGTGTGTGTGTGTGTCTGTGTGTGTGTACTCACCTAGTTGTGCTTGCGGGGGTTGAGCTTTGGCTCTTTAGTCCCGCCTCTCAACTGTCAATCAACTGGTGTACAGGTTCCTGAGCCTACTGGGCTCTATCATATCTACACTTGAAACTGTGTATGGAGTCAGCCTCCACCACATCACTTCCTAGTGCATTCTGTTAACTACTTTGACACTGAAAAAGTTCTTTCTAACGTCCCTGTGGCTCATGTGGGTACTCAGCTTCCACCTGTGTCCCCTTGTGCGCGTACCACCCGTGTTAAACACTTTATCTTTATCTACCCTGTCAATTCCCCTGAGAATTTTGTAGGTGGTGATCATGTCTCCCCTTACTCTTCTGTCTTCTAGTGTCGTGTGTGTGTTCACTTATCGTTATGTGACAACGCAAAATAACTGTTGCACTAACAGAGATATGTATACATATATACATACATACATATAGACACATATACAACATATTGTAGCTATTGCATATCTTGTTGCTCTCAGTGTCATTAAAGTTGGAATTAAAGTTAAGGCTTTTCTATATTTTTGATATCGTTATCCAGTCCATCCTCCTGCTCTTGTAGTACTTAAAGAAACGATGAGGAACATAGTACATATACCGACTTACAACATTAGAAAGTAGAAATCGGTACTATTGAATATGGACAAACCGGAAAACTCATTTCTAATGATGCTGTAAAATTAAACTAACATAACCCTAACCTAACCTAACCTAACTTAACCTACCAGAGGACCCAAAACAGAAAACGGGACAGTACGTCACAGCCGATTTCATTTACTAGTACGACGATTTTTGGCTTTCTGTAACGCCTACGTACGAAATGCGACGTTCTATGTAAGAGGACGGGTATACTCTCAGTACCTTTGGTATACCACATATACTCTCAGTACTTTAAGTATACTAGTTATACTCTCCGTAGCTCAGGTCTTTTCATCAAATACGTCGCTTTCCTTACGCAATCAACCACTCCGTTAAAAATACGACGTATTAGTGAAGAGTAAAGCATCGTTATATTATACATTTTCTATGCATCGGCCTCGATAGGTTAGGTTAGGGTACTTGGGTGAGTACGTTTATAATTAATCAAAAACCGTCGTATTTGTAACGGAGAGGCGAATGGAGAAAATGACCTGGTTCATCAATTATTCATCAATGATCTGTTCCGGCAGTTGGCGCAATTGGGCAACGATGTATTAGTCCAGGGTTCGATTCCCAGCCCGGGAGGACCATTACTGCACGGGTTTCCTTGCACCTGATACCTCTGTTCACCTAGCAGTAAATGGATCAACTTGACTGTTGTTGTTGGCATCCAAAATCTGTTGGCGGCTTCTGTTGGCGTCTGATGGCGGCTTCTGTTGGTGTCTGATGGCGGCTTCTGTTGGCGTCTGATGGCAGCTTCTGTTGGCGTCTGATGGCAGCTTCTGTTGGCGTCTGATGGCGGATTCTGTTGGGGTCTGATGGCGGCTTCTCTTGGCGTCTGATGGCAGCTTCTGTTGGCGGCTTCTGTTGGCGTCTGATGGCTGCTTCTGTTGGCGTCTGATGGCGGCTTCTGTTGGCGTCTGATAGCAGCTTCTGTTGGCGTCTGATGGCGGCTTCTGTTGGGGTCTGATGGCGGCTTCTGTTGGCGTCTGATGGCGGCTTCTGTTGGCGTCTGATGGCAGCTCCTGTTGGCGTCTGATGGCGGCTTCTGATGGCAGCTTCTGTTGGCGTCTGATGGCGGCTTCTGTTGGCGTCTGATGGCAGCTTCTGTTGGCGGCTTCTGTTGGCTTCTGTTGGCGTCTGATGGCAGCTCCTGTTGGCGTCTGATGGCTGCTTCTGTTGACGGCTTCTGTTGGCGTCTGATGGCAGCTCCTGTTGGCGTCTGATGGCTGCTTCTGTTGACGGCTTCTGTTGGCGCCTGATGGCGGCTTCTGTTGGCGTCTGATGGTCCTGCAACTTCTACCCAGCTCCCTCCCTTAGCCTACCCATCCTCTCCTATCCCACACAGAGAACCTATCCCATGCAGTGAATAACTCTATACATCTCTCAATATCCCTTCCATAATACATAGGACTTCCTATTCACTAATCCCAAATCCAATAGAGGGCGCTGGTAGGCGCTCTGTACTGTGATTGCTTCGACCGTCCGGCGGGTATGAATAAGCAAATAAGCAAACGATTAGGTTCTTCAATATTGAAATGTATGAATGAATACTATACTTGAGGTCAATCCATTAGTAATGATGAGTGTTGATGATGCTCTCTTCATCTCCCAGTGGATGGGGGATCGGGGGATCGAGCGCGGGTCTGGTGTTGGTGGTGTTTGGGCAAGCGTGTGAGCACGATTGTATGCGCATGCGCGCGCATACACACACACACACACACACACATACATACATACATACAATACATACACACATACACACACACACATACATACACGCATATATACACACACACTCTAGTCAGGCCTTTATATATATATATATATATATATATATATATATATATATATATATATATATATATATATATATATATATATATATATATATATATAAACTCTCTGTCGACAGCATTAAGCGGAGCACGGAGTTATACCGGTCAAATAAGCGGGGTTTTTAAGCCACTAATACAGTGCATGTCGGATTTAAGAAAGTCTACCATTAGCCCGGTGTTCGCTCTAGTTCGGAATTTATTAAGGAATTTTTTTTTTTTTAATGTTAGGTATTAATTTTTGTATATTGACATGTGTCAGATGTTTGTTGTTGTTATAGATTCAGCTACTGGCAACAAGTTCCAAGTAGCACGGGCTATGGTGAGCCCGTAGTGGACTTACCTGGCACAGGAACGGGGCAAGTAGCACGGGCTATGGTGAGCCCGTAGTGGACTTACCTGGCACAGGAGCGGGGCTGTGCCAACCCTGGCGGACTGTTTGTACACTGTTAGGTGAGTACAGTCGAGTACACACACACACACCAGTGTGGGAGTCACCAGTGGAGTCCCACAGGGCTCTGACTCGGTCCTATCTTGTTTCTGATATATGTAAATGATCTCCCGGAGGGTATCGATTCATTTCTCTCAATGTTTGTGGACGATGCTAAAATTATGAGGATTAAAGCAGAAGGGGACTGTTTTAGGCTTCAAGAAGACCTAGACAAGCTGAAGGAATGGTCGAACAAATGGTTGTTAGAGTTTAACCCAACCAAATGTAATGTAATGAAGATAGGTGTAGGGAGCAGGAGGCCAGATACAAGGTATCATCTGGGAGAGGAAATTCTTCAGGAGTCAGAGAAGGAAAAAGACTTGGGGGTTGATACCACGCCAGACCTGTCTCCTGCAGCACATATCAAGAGGATAACATCAGCGGCATATGCCAGGCTGGCCAACATACGAACGGCATTC